TCTGAAAGAGTTACTGTTAAGCCTTTAAAATTTTAATTATTTTGACCATTGATCTATTTTTGTAAATCAGCTTACTGATTTTCAACAGATTGTCACAAAACATTGCGAGCACACTTTGGCTGTATAAAACAGTATTCATAATGTTTCGCATCACTTCCAGTTAACAGAGGTGTTTATATTCAATATCATGGCGAGGGCAGATTATTGCTACATGTCTGACAATGATTCTCATCAATTTCGTAGCCGAAAATGTGAAAGTGGACATTTATAGTAAAATATTATCCCTGATTGATGTTGCACACATTAGACAAAATGCAACCTTTGATTGATAAACACTGTGTGAGCCAACAAGATAAACAACCAACGATGTCCGGTGCAAAATAAATAGCAACTTGTAGGCTTGTGTATCACATATTGAACCTTGCATAGCAACAAGTGTCAAACAATATTCATTGAACTAAGAACATAGTTTTGCAAAATTTGAAATGGTATTGAAATCATGATTGTATCAAAAAGACAAGGAATGAAACGATGAGGATGTGAAAAATGATAATGTAACTGGAATTGTTCAAATTTCAAAACAAAAACACCTCCATAATCGCAAAAACAATTTTTCTGCTTCTGCTTATGCATGTGGTTTGTAGTTCCCTTTGGCACCTATTGATTTGCTATTGGCAGAAAGCAAACAACATAAACCTACCCCAAGATGAATAGAAACAAAGGAGATGAAAGGATTAATTTTATACATTACTGCAGCATTTGTCCATATACTGTATAGCTGCACTTCCCTCCATAGTCATGTCATACTAGTATGAATCAGTATATGTTCTCTTTTATTCACCACCAAGGGTCATGATTTTGGTTCATGCTGAGTGTTCAGGAAGCAAATCTTGGCATGTGCAGTGTTTCGGTCCCGGGCACTCATTACCATAGCACACTTCCAGTAAATACATGTATGACATTGAAGTGCAGTTAGCTTGTTATGGTTGGATGCTGGAGGAAGAGCACCTATCAACATATGCAGAGAATTTAGTTTCACATTGACAGCTCAACATGGAACAAAATACAGGTGTATGAGCGCATTATTTTGACATGAACCAATGGGTCTCATGCTGGTCCGATTAACCTGAACACAACTGCTGTTCAGCATGTGCAGAGATCTTGCAACGTGGCTTATATTTGATTGTTTATTGTGTCTAATCAGATGCACTTAAACTACATGTACTGCTTATTTGTAAACAGTCAAGAATTATTCTTTGAATTTGTTTGGTATATTTACATATCAATGAATATTAACATTTATTCTTTAAACAGCATGGTTATTATATTCTGCAGTAGCAATGGTCAATAATACATCGTAACACTGATCAGTATTTTGTTGTAATATTAGAACAAATCATTCAGTTTTAGTAGTTGCTGCACTTTTTATCTGCAACTCTCCTATTGGCACCCCTATCATAATACTACATTGGAGCCACATGTTTTAAATCCATATCAATGATTCTCAAGACAATGAGAGATGTAAATATGTCTGGGTTTTGAAATACAATTTAATGCAAAGGTGATAAATTGTGGTAAATTGCTGGGCTGAAAAACACTTCTTTGTAAATGTTTAAAAAAATGGGTTCATAAAACAGTCATGATACAATTAAGTCAGTCATGTGACACTTATTTAAATAAATCATACCCTGCTTAAGATCTAGATTTAATACAATAAAGTTTCAGATGCATTCAAAATGGCAACAACAAAAATACAAATGAAGACAAAATGAAAGCATAATAAAATGTGCCCAAAGTAGTTTAATTAGGAAACCATTGGAGGGCTATGCCAGGTACCTAAGACAGTTGAACTAAGAAACCATTGGAGGGCCATGTCAAGTGCCCACGGTAGTGTATTTAGGAAACCATTGGAGGGCTATGCCAGGTGCCCAAGACAATTGAACTAAGGATATTGAGGGGTACACTCCATGCATACATGTACTAAGTAATATATATTGAATAATGCATGCAATCTATTTTTCTTTTCTCTGTTTTCAGGAATCAAATGCCCAGTATGTTCTAAGTTTGTACCACCTGATGATATTGAGTGCCACCTTGTTATTTGTTTAACTAAACCAAGAATAAGTTACAATGGTAAGCATAACTAAGCCTGGTTACATTTGTTGCCTACATGTTAAGTACTCGTAGGAGGCTATAATGCAGCTGTCAGGAGGTGCGTTTGTTTTTCATTGCCTGCACATTGTGGCTCCCATAGACAAGAGGTGGGTTTGTTTATCATTGCCTGCACATTGTGGCTCCCATAGACGAGAGGTGGGTTTGTTTATCATTGCCTGCACCCTGCGGCTCCCATAGAGGAGAGGTGGTTTGTTCATCATTGCCTGCACATTGTGGCTCCCATAGAGGAGAGGTGGTTTGTTTATCATTGCCTGCACATTGTGGCTCCCATAGACGAGAGGTGGGTTTGTTTATCATTACCTGCACATTGTGGCTCCCATAGAGGAGAAGTGGTTTGTTTATCATTGCCTGCACATTGTGGCTCCCATAGAGGAGAGGTGGTTTGTTTATCATTGCCTGCACATTGTGGCTCCCATAGACGAGAGATGGGTTTGTTTATTGTTGCCTGCACGTTGTGGCTCCCATAGACATGAGATGAGTTGTTCATTGTTGCCTGCACGTTGTGCCTCCCATTGACATGAGATGAGTTGTTTATTGTTGCCTGCACGTTGTGGCTCCCATAGACATGAGATGGGTTTGTTTATTGTTGCCTGCACGTTGTGGCTCCCATAACATGAGATGGGTTTGTTTATTGTTGCCTGCACGTTGTGGCTCTCATAGACATGAGATGGGTTTGTTTATTGTTGCCTGCATGTTGTGGCTCCCATAGACATGAGATGAGTTGTTTATTGTTGCCTGCACGTTATGGCTCCCATAAACATGAGGTGAGTTTATCACTTCCTGCAATTTTTGTCTCCCATAGATGATTTTCTAGGAGATCTATATAATGAGTGAAATGCTCGACTGAACACCACAATTGTTTAGGTCAATGTCAAAAAGCAGATCTTTCAGGAGAGAATATGAAATACCCTCAACATCAAATGTTTATAGCGCATTATTAAGCATGAAAATATCCACAAAATGCATGCGATGTTTTTACATTTTTTTTGTTTACATTCGATTTCATGCATAATGTGTGGAATCTTGCAGTGAACCGAAAATGGTCTATTGACATGAAAACAGCTTGTACACACATGGGGTGTTCCATCACATCTGGTACATCACTATCAGATTAACGTTTTTATTGCTAGACTTATTTCTATGTTGTCACATCACTGCACTTTCAGGCTTAGTTCATTAAAATGTTGTTGTTTTAGTGAAATACTTTAGTTATACTCCAAGATAATTTCCAGAGCTTTATTAGGATTTTGTGGCTATTATGTGAAATATAAAATTTTCCAGAATTTTCTATAATTACAACAATGCAGTGGTAAAAAATAAAACAATGCATGCCACTGCATGACATTCCCATGGCGATACCTGGAATATGTTCATATTGTGTTCTTTTACAGAGGATGTGTTGACCACTGATACAGGGGAGTGTGTCATATGTCTTGACGATTTACAACAAGGCGATACTATAGCACGTTTACCTTGCCTCTGCATTTACCATAAAAGGTATTTTGATTACTTTGTAACCAAAGATATTTTCAAAATCTGTGATATTTGGGTGAAGGTTATTTATTTTAACATTTAATCTTTTCACTACCAATACCCCTTTTTCAGCACAAATTCACAAAATAGTCCTGTTTATAATCTGCTTTTTCCTTCAAAAAATTGAGACAAAAATAGCCAAATTTTTTGAATAAAAACTAAAAATTGACTCAAATTATTAGATTTCATTTCCTGAAATATTGACGAATATAAGAAAAAAGTGTAAAAAAATTGGCCGAGAAAGTCTGGTGGTGAAAATGTTAATTTAAAATCATACAAATTTAACATAAATTTTACAACAAGTTGGGAAATTTTGTTTTTTTATCAATTGAATGCATATTTGTATATTTTTATGTATTATTGAGAATAATTTAGATATTATTGACCTACCGGTATATAAATAAATACCTTTTTACTGAATATCGTTAGATTTTCCAAAAATAGTTGCTTTATCTGTTTATTGTGACATGTGTATGGTCTATATTCATGTGCTTTATTCTGTATTGTTGAAATCTATGATAACATTTCATTTTGAAACAAATGTTTTTTTAACAAATTCTGATTGAATGAATTTATGAAATCAGTTCCAATGATAACTGATGCTCGAAAAAAATATACACTAAATCAGATACCGGTAGTTGACAATACATGTTTAATCATGTTATTGGCTATAAATTGTCAGTCTTATTACATTGTTGCTATTGACTACTATTACCATGTCAACCATCTGTACTAGGCAATATTATTGCCTTAAAGGTAGCAGTCAATGCTTATACATTAGTACTTAGTATATTGTCACCAAACTGTTTGATAATTAAACTATTTCTTTGCTGAATAACACTCTGCAAGTCAGCGTTACTATATTATGTTTTTTGTTTGTGTCAACTGCTGCACAGTAGGAAATTAGAAAGCACTGCCACCCAGATGGTGACATGGCAGTAAATAACACACGCAAAGACAGTGTTGATAACTTTATTACACATGTTTCCAGATTACAACGCACATGTTAGTCTGTCCTCTGTTGTATTTTATCTATAATATTATTTCAACAGTGAGTCAAAGGGAATAACTTAATTTAGCCTTGATGAAACACAAACATGTTTTTTCTTCTCTTTTCTAGTTGTATTGATTCATGGTTTGAAGTGAACCGATCATGTCCTGAGCACCCCAATGATTAGAGTATTGAGAGGTATGTACAATTTGGTTGAAGCAGCTAGGAGAAGAGTCCCCTATCTATTGGCTACTTCTCAACATCATCATTTTTGTGTCAATATTGATCTGATTCTCACCTGAACTAACATTTTATGTAGCCATGGGTGATGTGTAATTTCTGGACACCGCATTGTCAGTGTAAATACTGACAATTTTATGGTTGTGATAAATTTCACAACTCATCAGTTTGGGGCATAATGAATAGGAATTTTTCTGATTGTATGAACAAATCTTTTCTGTGATGATTTCCACAGAAAAGCAGTAAATGATTTCATCTCAAAGATGATGCCCTGGACTTATACCCAGGCAAAATAGGAGAGATCAGTAGGACACCGTACAAAATACACGCCAAACAATAAACGCCTCTGCTCTGTTTGACTTCAAAAACAGGCTATCCCTAATGGCATTGACCACACTCAAAGATTGTCTAGCATCTTACTTTACTAATTCAAAGTTTTGCTAATTCTCTGCAGTACCTCTGAAACCACCAACTTCATCAACCACTCTTCATCGCCACTTATTCCACCATCTTAGCCCCACCTCTCTAAATTCTGTCATAGTGGCCACACGTTGCAAAATCACATACACAAATAATAATTACAATGAATATAAAGATAAATAATAAGAATTCATGACACCATGAATAAAAAAAAAATTTTAGTGAATTGATATGCAAGCCTACAATAAAACTCAGCATGCTGTTTTTAACACTCATAGTGGACGACACAGTATGGTTTAAAATTATAAACACTATTTGAAAAATGAGAGGATTTGAGCAGTAACACGGGAAATATTATCAGCACCACTGTGCATAACTGTGTTAGAGTTCCTGGTGATATATATGTGTACAGCTTCAGTACGGGGTCAAAGTATGGTCATTCTGACAGCATACTAAATCACTACATGAATAACTTGATATCACTAACTCTTTCTGTTTTACTTGCTCACGTTTAAAGTAGTAGTTATAAATAATTAACATTTTGTGTGCACCACACTTCCTTCACTGTGGGACGTAATGCGTTTGTCCCCAAGAATGGTAAACTTGTTTGCCTGGAAATGAGATCTTACTTTGTATTAGTTCAAAGCTGGTTAAATAATATTTATTATTATATATCTGTCACTGCCATACTTCTGCAGTATTTTACAGGGTATTTTCATCCTACCATATTAGGAAATACGAATTCAAAATGTAGAATGATTATGTGCGTAAGCATCCTCTAATAATAAAAACAAACATGGCTGCCACCAGAGTTTGACCGGACTCCACACAAAGTCCGCTGATTCTGTTCTAAACATTTTGGATTTCGGCATTCCTGTGATCTATTCTTGTAAGGAAAAGATGTATAATAATAAGGTTATTACAAGGATACATCAAAGTATGCACTCAGACAGTACACCGCGCATCGACCTCCGCTGCACGTTGGTGAATACCTTTGGGATACCTCTGCAATGCATTCATTCGCACACACATGCATGCATCCATTTTCTTGTGGCTTCTGTTTTCATATGTGAGGTAATGCAAAATGCATTTGTTTTTGTCTTGCAGATTACAATTTAATAACCAAGAAGTGCATGAATAAAAACAAAATGGTTCAACACCTGACGTATTTTGTTACTGATTTCTTTTAGTATGATTTGTCATCGTCTGTATGTTAAAACTGGACCACTTCCATACCATGCCAACTTGAGATTTTTTAGATATAATAAATATGAAGAAATTAGCAGGGAGATTGCTTTTCGTAATGAGAGAGACATTTTACGATATGAAGTTCATGTCTTTTTGATATTTTAATAATGTCAAGACAAAGATGTGTTTGTTTTTTTCAATTGGCTTTGTAAATTGTATAGATTTGTGACAAAGTATTCTGTTTTATTGTTGATTACCTATCATGTCTTGATATTCTGTAATATATGACTTTGCTCTATAGTAAGAGAAATAAAAATGATATATTCAGTAGATTTCCTGTGTGTGTGTCTATTCATATTAGAATGCATTCACATTTCATCTCTGCTCCATCAGAAGCACACATAAATTACTTACCGATACACACCTATGTCATGTACTAAAGTAAATGAAGTAAATACAGATCCAAGTTTAGTATACTTAAAAACAGTTTTACGTCTCGCATGTGAACTATCCAAATGTGCTGGTACATCAACAAATCTTTTGATGAGTCATGAAGATTACTATGGGTCACTGTAAAATAAAAAAAACTTTCAGAATGCTTATAATTACTTGCATGAAGTTAAAGCATTATCTAGTATATATTTAGTTTATTTATTGCCATTTGATTTATTGATGTGAATTGTGCTATGGGTATCTCAACTGTTTATAATAAATAATAAAGATATCGCTGTCATTACTGATACCAAAATTATTATGTTTTTCTGCTCTGTTAGCACCCAGTCATCAAAGTATTTTTAGCAAATATTTTTGGCAAAATGCTAGTTGACTTCTACTTGATAACTGCTAGTATGATTGAATTGATACTTGGTATATATGTACATAAACCTTGGATTAGATCATTTCGTGACATGAGGGAACTTCCTACTAATTACATATCCTGTAACTGGAGTTGATGAATCCAAAAATTACTATTAAACTTGTCTGTGATAAGATCTAAACACAAAGTTGTAAGAGTTAAATGTTAACCAAGCCATGGTTATTTATTTCTTAATTATGGTAACTATATGTATTTTTATTGCTAGACAGCACTGCTGAAGCAGCAAGGCTGCTTCATCTGTAAGGTCGTTAAATAAGGTCACTAAGATTTTCCAGTCAAATTTGTATGATAAATTTTATCATCAGCATACATTGAGAAAAGTACACCAGTATCTTACTCGTAAAAATTAGTTGCTGAGTTTAATCCTACTCGTATCATACATCATATTTATTTAATTATTTATAGTGAAATTATACTGGAGGAGGGAGGGGGTCATCTTTAAAGCATAATGGGTAGGGGTTTGTGGCTCAACTATTTATGACCCCACTTGCTTCCAGACCACTGTTTTTTTAGTAGTTTCATACCCTCTTCTAGACCAACATATTTCAGTACTGCCAAACCATGCACAGTGCCATGGCATAGTGTCATATATTAATATTAATCTTAATTAAAACCGTATCCTGATGTGGGGTCTTGGTAGAGACAACAATAAAATAACAACAGAAAAAAATGATAAAAACAAAATGTTACATATATATATATTATGAAAATTTATATTCACTATTATTACGTTTTTCTGCACAACCTATATACTTCATTTGTTCATTTTATTTTATTTTTCCTTTGCATTCATGTTTTCCCCTGAAATCAGAATACTAGTAGCATTTCACTATGTTCGAATCAAAGTGAATAACTCCAATAAATTATGGTTATTATTATACCGGTATATAGAACAGGTCGAAGTTCAAAATGCGTACAGCACTATGCTTTGGGAACAGTCAGAGAGGCTTGCGAATAATAGTATTTCAAGGGTTTTTCCCAAGATTTTTTGAAGATTAGCTAATACATGTATAACAGTAATAAAACACTTGTTCCTTCTTATGTTAATTCGGAATTAGAAATATAATGAAAAAGTTGATATCAGTTTCTTTCTGTTTTTATGTGCATCACTTTTTAAACGAATAAATGATTGCATCGAGGACACAAGGACAAAGCAAATCTAAAATCACGCTCTCTATTCGACGTGAACTCGTAGGTCACCAGGCAAGTTTCTTTGAGATTATTTTGTGTTGTTATCTTATACAACTATAAGATTATTCAAAATAACAAATATTTAACTAATATCAAGCTGAGAACGAAAATGAAAAGTACTGTAAAACACTGTGTTGAAATAGTTATTTACCACTTCTAGGGAGTTTAACTCAATTAATTTAATTATTTTTTATTAATAAACAATCGGTAACCTGAATTTTGTCATTTATACACTCACATAATATTTTTTTGAAAAAACCACTAAACAATTGTCACATGTGTGTGTAGTGTCTGATTGTAATGTTAAAAATGGATACAAATTTAAATCTTTCACGTAACACTGATATTGAGTGAAACATGAAATGACTGATTATCTGTGGCATGGCAAATTTAACAATTTAATTACGAATAACTCAAAATATATGTATTATTATTTTTTTACCTTGCCCGTACCATCAAAGATGGAAGGGAAAGGTATATTAAGGGAAAAATTTTGTCCGGCGTTGTCGTCGTCGTTGTTGTTGTCGTCATCGTCGTTAATAATTGTTATTGTGTGCATAATAACTTTACTAATTATATTCCAAACTTTATCAAACTTGGTCACCTTATTCATCAGTATAAAGTCTTTCCTGAGTTTGAACAACAGATGTCCTGTATGAAAATATCATGCAA